GCAGTTTGTTACCTGTTCCTTGCACCTGCTGAATTAGGTTTTGTTTGTTGATTATCTCCATTCAATTACTTTATTTGTTCAATCTATTTTGTATTTTTGTTGTTTAACTATCTACTTCCTAATTTAGTTTTGTATTTGACTTGATGTTTGTTGTTTTCTTTTGCTATTGTTGTAAATTTCTAAATCGGGAACATGACTGCTATGTTTGTTTGGTGTTTACAATTTTTGGTTGATCACATGTGCTTAGCAATTTTTCCAGAGTAGTGTAATGCCCTACTTTTGTCAAGAAAATTTTTAAAATCGACTCAGAGTTTTCAAGTAATTGGTTTTGACAAAATTAAATTTTATATTAGAATAAAACAAAGGAAACACACTAGATAAGTAGAATCTATGACCTTTGGATGCTTTAAGAGGAACAGGTTCAGTTAACTAGATTATAAGTATCAGAGTTGGTAAACAAATTTGTTTGGTCTTTTTTACTTGAATTGCCACCTTTGTGCTAACACCAAAATTGAAGTTAGCTATTTGTGGCTTCTGCCTTTCCAATAGTATTAAAAACTAACAGTATTGCATTTGGTATTTTTAAAGAAAGCTATATTATTATAAGAAACTTATAGTACTATTTCTAAGTTTTTGTTAATTTTGTTTATTTTGATGATCTATGAGAAAGAGTTGATATTATTTGAAATTATAATCTATTTTAAAATTTTTTATAAAAAACATACTTACATATTATTTATTTTTATTTTGAACATAATTAATAAGATTTATTATTCAATATATATCACAAAATATTAAGAACTATAAGAATGTTTTTCTTATTCTTAAATCAAAACTAAATTATTAATAAATACTTATCATAGTTATGAAACAAATATTGATATAATAATACCAAGTACAAAAGCTTATATGAATGTATTAATTTGACATTAAAGTAAATCAATAAAATTATTTAGAGTTTTTGAAAATACAAAAAGCTATTTCTGATTATATTTATATTTGCAAGTATTATAAAAAAATATTACAGTAAAATTACTATTTTCAAATATTGTTAAATGTATATTTTTTATATTCTATAAATATCATAAGTAAAAACAATATTTACTTTATTAAATTCTACTTTTAATATATTAAATTATTTTGTATTTTATAATTTGTAACAAAAATACTATATTATTATTAATTTTAAGACCTCTTTATAAAATTCTATCTTATAATACTACAAACTTTATTTACTACTTAACTACTAAAAGCTAATTTTATAAACAACAATTCTTTATTTACACTTCTATACTTATATATCTATTGTTACATAATTTTATTTTATATCCATCTAACTTTATTTTATGCATATATATATAAAACTAAAAAAATAATTTATATTTTAAATTAATATAGATCTTCATGTATTTAATATCAAATTAATAACTTGTCTTATATGTTTTTTTATTTACAGAACAAATCTAACTAGATTTTTGACTTTATTAATTAATAAGTAATATTTTTTGCTTTATTAAATAGCAGATAATATCTTTTACTTATTAAATAACAGATAATATCGTTTACTTTATTAAATACCAAATAATATCTTTTGCTTTATTAATTAACAGATAATACCTTTCATTTTATAAAATAATAGATAATACCTTTCACTTTAAATGTTTTTCAAAGATGTTCAACATTTTTTAAAAATTTATACAAATATTTCTTGATGACTACCAAACTAATCCTAATAATTATTTTTATTTTCATTTTACATGTTTATAGGATTATAATAAAAAAAAATTATTGAATTTGTCTTAGTAATCGTTAAGTAACAATTGCTAGAAGTTTTTGAAAAAATTAAAATTTAACATACTGTACTTATGTTTATTGTCAATCATGTGCTAATCCAGCAATCTGATTGGCTAGCACATCACATAATGCAGAATTTTTCGGGGTGTTGTTGGGGTAGTTACTACGGCTACTCCAAATTAGGTTAACCCGGCCCACTTAGGCTATTTCGGCTACGTAGGCTACTACGGCTACGTAGGGCACGAAGGCCATGTCGGGAAAGTAGGGGTGGGAAACGAAGTGTAGAATTAGCAAACGTAGTAGACGTAGTAGTTGTAGCAGACGTAGAATAACAAATGTAAATAAAGAATTTTAAGATAAATAAAGGCCGTAAAGGCCCTAGAGAGGGAGAAGAACCCGTACTTTGCTTTATTAAAATAATAACTGGCCCCTTACATCATAATAAATACATAGACGTCTCCCTTGCTACATTAACTAATCGCTAAATCCCCAGATCATAAAAACCCCGCTTCTTGTAATTAGCTGTTCTATCCCGTAGTATTGCTAAGTTCCCGTCCGGCTGTTGTATCCTAAAGTACCAGGATCAGCCGTGGTAGTATCGTTCCACTATCCTGAAGGACTGATGATAGTGTGGTTATACGTGTTATTCAATTACCCGAAGTAGTGAGGTAATTCAGAATAGAGTTAGTAAGTTCAAGAGAAGGAAAACGCGAGACCAGTAAGGAAGAAACACTCACCTACGGACCCAAACCACCGACCAAATCTAAACGCCTCTTTTCGACTAAGCCAATCGTATGTTACACGAGATTTTGGATCGTGGAGCGACTGACTCGCCGTTTTACCCGATTTCAATATAATCAACACTAAGAAAAAAAATAATTTAAACTCATTATTTTTCAAATCGCTTATTATTGCGTAATATAATAACAAACATTGTAATGAATTAATTAACATCGCTAAAATTTATCGGTCAGGATTTTAACCGGTCTGTCACAAACATTTGACCGACCGACCCACCCTAAGCGGGCTGCGCAATAGATTCAGGAATTATTATGACATGATTTTAATCTTAGTTTCTATCCTAAATATAAATAACTGATAACCAAAATACTTTCAAAATAGGAAAAAATATAGACAACCAAAAGTCGAAACTATCTCACACATTTATATGTGATCGTGGTATAAAATAAACAAATCTTAAAAATACACATCTATATATTAAGCCACGCAAATTTAATATTCTTGGTTTTCATAACATAAAACTTTCGAACAGACCAGCCGGTCGGCTTTTTTTAAATTTTTTCATGTATAAATCTTATAAAATTTTTTGTAAAAATTTTTTAAACAAGCTTTTAATATTTGACCCTGAAAACAATTAATTAATTTTGTGTATATTATATATATGAATAAAGAAATTAATGTATGAGATAATCTCAAGATTTTTTCCATCTTATAGTCTTTTCACTGCAGCCCTTATCAATGCTATCAGTACCAAAGGTACTGATGAATCGGGTTCACCAACAACTTTAGCGCAGATACCACAAAAACAGAAGCAGACCAAGACTACTACAATGATTGTAATAATTAAACTTCTTGATAACCCATTATTGGAAGAATCAGTAACATTGTTATAAGAAATTGGAAAAGCAGATACTATAGCATTTAACATTTCTTTATCACTACTATCAGCATAAAGATCTGAAATGGCTATACCGCCATACGAGTTATCTGCAATCAATCTCAGTTTATATTGAATGGATTGGGGATCTTCATAAGAGACGTAATCATATTCATAAACTGATATTGGTGAACCCACGACGGATGAATTTGAACTAACTTTGTAAAGATATGTGGTACTTGTTTCAGAATCAAATTTACGAGCCCAACCATTTCCAGTCGTACAAGTATCTATCAGTTGTCCAGTTTCCTGCCTCATAAAGTACCATGGATATAATTGAATAGAATGATCCAACGTAAATGAACATTTATCATAAAATAGATAAATAGAGGGATCACTGTTATAAGAAGTAATGAATGGAGCTTTTGTTAAGTTACGTGGGATAGTTTGGCTATTGTCAAGACTGCCCAAATCAACTGGAGCAGTTAATTCAACAACACCAGAAAAGTCTACGCCCAAGTTGAGTTTTGCTGGTTTCACGATTATACTCCAATTACTCATAATTGCTGATGTCTGATTCAATGTGACACATGGACCTGTTTTATTTGTAGGTGTGGTTAAGCTATTGACTATATTTACTTGAGTTGCCTATAATTATAAATAAGTGTAAAGGAAAGAAATAATTTATTATATGTACGGGGATAGTAAAAACAAAAATAACTTACCATGACATTCACAAAACTAACTGAATCAGGATTCAACCCAGTTATTGGAATTGGACCAACCGTTATTGATAATTCTCTATTAATTACTTTTAAGGCAGCAGATAATTCATCTACTAACGGGACAAAATTTTTATCATTCAACCACTTTCCGCAATTAAATCTATTTGGATATTCAAGATCAACCTGCAATACATTTATATATGTTTAAATTCTTTAAAATATGAGTAAATCAATTCGAAAATTATAAATCAGAATATTTAACATACACCATCCAAATTATAATTGTGTACAAAGTTTATAACATTAGTGATAAATGCGGTACGGTCACCGGAAGTTCCATTTGCAAATGATGGATTAGAATTGATATTGATGTTTCCCGTTAAAACGATCGCCAAAAATATCTAATAAAAAGATAAGAATAGGTATTTTAAACTTTATAACTATATAATACCAAACGTGCTATTAGTGTTATTAGTTATTTACTTTGACTGGAATGTGATTTGTATCTCTATAGGCTACAGTGTTACTTAAAAAAACATGTGTTGATGTTGGAGGTATATTTTTATTTGAAACATCATCGGGACCAAATGCTACATAATTAATGAAATAAGTATCAGTGATTTCGTTGTGATTAATAAAAGTGAAATATTAATTAATTTCAACTACCAATCCAGTTTAGATGTGTAATGTTCCAAGGAATTTTACTTGGACTAATGTAATTATAATAACTGTCAGAAGACGATGAAGCATAACGAGTGTACTGAGAGAGGTAACCAGGAAAATATCCAACGATCGTCTTTGAATCGGTTGAAAGTGGTGTTACTATTTGCGGGCATGTGAAATTTGCACGTTTTTTGAGCAGAGGACTCGTCAAAACACCGTCATGAGTTATCAATATTAAAAAAATTAAGATAAGAAATGGATGGAAAGAAAAGAATGCACTCATGATTTATTGTAATGAGTCTAAGCCAAAAAAGTTTATGATGAATCTTTAATAGAATTTCATGCCTAGCTATTTAAGAAAATATTTTGAAACTTGCATGGATGGATCAATAACTAAATCGGGACGTTTGTGCAATATCACATTGACTAGTAGTACTAATTTAATTCGTGAAACATTCAATCTAAAAAAATAACCGTTTTCTTCTATGTATAACTATAGATGAAACATTTTCGAATGTACATTATGCAGAAAAATAAAATTATGTTAGACCATTGTATTTTCTCCCTTTTAGCAAATTTTGAAGATCAATATTGTTAGACCCGAAACACGTGACCCACGAGTCCCCGATTTCGTCGTAAGATCGTCGTCGCACGATCATCAGGTCACGATTTTACCCCGTGCTTATAATCATTATAATGCATATATTGCATATATTGATTATAATCATTATAATCAATATATGCGATATAAGCGCTATAATCATTATAAGCGCGATAATGATTATCGGCACCTAAAAATAAATAGTAAATTAGTTATAAATAACATGTAGTTTCGCTCAAGTAATAAAGCGGATTCCCCTACCTTACAATAATAAATCGAATGGAAGGTTCGTCTATGAGTGACTGTAGAGAACCACTGTTAAAGAATAAACCTAACCCGTAATAGTAGCAAATCCCCATCTGATTGTCAGTAATTCCTGACGTAGTGAGGAATATTGCAGTTATTAGATTAGTAGAATGATAGTCTCGATGTAGTGTAGACTATCCAGAATAAGTCAGACCAAGTTGAAATCACTCGACAAATCTACATATTTCTTTCGATCAAAAGCCATCTGATTGTTACACAAAGTCAACCTTCATTTAGCAATAGATTTGCCAAATTAGGACCTCTCAATATGTATTACAGATAACCTTATGGAACTATGTAAATTTTATGAATAAAAATTAAAATTTCTAGCCATCTATTAATCCAATTCAAATAAACTTTTTTTTATTTTGTAGAACTCAAGAAGCTTTACAAAATAAAAAATATTTTATTTAAATTAGATTACTGGATAACTAAAAATTTTTATTTTTATTCATAAAATCTATATAGTTCTGTAAAGTTATTTTTAAGTAAAGACCTCAAATACACTGATTACTAATGCATTATAGTATTATTAGGTTTTTCTCATTTTATGAATCTGATGCATTCTTGAAATAATTATTGTAATCAATTTTTTCATCTTTACCTTTTTGTTTAGATTTAGTAATCATTTGGCATTAATGTTACTTTTGTCCTAGTTATAATAAAATTTTGTTGATTTTTATAAATGTTTTAAGTCTTAGCAAATAAGCTATAGGAGGGCAATATTATTAAGGAAAACATCACTAGATCATATTATAAATAGTGGTAGAATTCAAAAATAGAAATTAACAATCTAAAATGATTAATAATCATTGTTACAATTTTTTTTATAGATTATATGAGGTTCTTATAATAAAGATTTAGATAATAAAGAAACAAAAATTTTCTATTGTATAATTTTATTTACACAAATTATAAGACATGATATTAATTTATAAAATGTTTTTTTTTTAATGTTAATGTAAGGTCATATCTCTATCATTATTGAATATTTAACTGAGATTTTTACATAAAATTTAAATCTGCTTTTAAAATATTATAGCAATAATAAAAGTTCAAACCAATTTATCTGCAACCTAAACCAATTGAAGTGGTCAAAACTTATCTAGATTTGGGTGTTAATAATATATGAGGAATTAGTTTGATATTTAATCCATTGTATATACTAAGAATTAATCTTAAAGTTAATAGTATTAAGAGAAGAAGTTTGCATTAATTGCAAAATAGAATTGAAAGATAAATTAGAAATAGAAAAATAAATTATAGATCTTGAAATACAATAAAGAATCCAAATTTTGTGATAAATTTGTTAATTAAGATAAAGTAAGAATTTGGTAATAAGTATTATAGATATTTTTTATAGATGATAAGTTTGTGACTATAATAATAATTTTATTTGATATTAAGCCTGATAGAGTTGAAAAAATTGAAGATAGGTTCAGTATACTGTGAGTGGATATGCAGTTTAGTTGTTGATTTAATAATGCAAGTTAGTTATAATTTCTGAAATAGTATTAAGAAAAGTAATATTAAGAGTATGTTGTAGTGAGTTATTTATAAGATTATTTAATAGTTGATCAGATGGTCAAGCTGTTTAATGAAAGTAAGAGCTAGTATGATAACATTGGTACAAGTAGATGGATATGATTAATAATGTTTGTATAAAGTGTGTAGTACAGAAAGTTTATTCAATAAAATTTTAATTTTAAAGAACTTAAGAGTAGATGATTGAAAGCTTTATAAGAAGTTTGAAATTTTTTGATTGTTGTTGATATATAGCCAGGTAGCTTGTCAGTTAATTTGAGTAAGAATTTTTTTCTATTTATGAAAGCAGTTTTGTGTAATCCATAGTGCATAAATATATGCATAACAAATTATATAAATACTGTAATAAGTTAGTAATGCAAAAAAAAAATTATTAAGAATATGAGTATAAATTGAATTATATATATTATATAATATAAAAGTAAGATATGTTAGGTAATAATAGTTATGTGTGAGTTGATTGGCTAAATTATTGTATCTATTATCTTAATAAGCAATGACTTTGTAAAAGATGATTTGAATTTTGTACAAGTTAATAAAGTTAACAAATGTGTTCTAAAGTGAAAAGTACAGTATATGCATATATAATAAAGTAGTAGAAAAATTTAAAAAATTTTAGTATTTTGAAATTACAGATTGTAAGTCTATATATATATTTACAATACAGTTTCTAGGAGTAGTAATAAAAGCTAATAAGATAGCAGTAAATTCTGATTTGAATGAGCAAGATCTTGTATCTGAAATGTATATAATATAGAATTATTATTAATTTGAACCCATCTGATGTCCATAGAGCATTAAGAGGTACCCAAATTAATAACAGAGTCATTAGTATAAAAGTAGAGTTCTTATTAGTTAAATTGTAATTAGCAATTTCTTAAAATTTATGAATTAGTATACAGAGTTCAAAGATAATTAAGATTGAATTTGCTAAAATAATAATATTAGATAAGCTTGGGGTTTGAATAGGATATCTAATTGCAACTGAGTATAAGAGGTCCAAATGGTTGGCATTAAAGTTAAGAGTTTTGATATTTGTGTTAACTCGACCAAAAAATTAGGTTGAAAGATTAGTAGAAATAACAATTTTAAATTTGTTATTAATTGTATATAAATTAAAAAAGTAATTAGGACATGTCTGGAATTGAATAGGTGTAAGGAGATATAAATATGTAAATTGTACTTCAATTTGATATTGTCAGTGAATAATAAGCACAATGCCAGAGTGTATTGATCTAGTAAAGTAAATAGGTTGTTAACTCTCAAATGGCAAGTCTAAAGTTCAATTCTTATAGATGACGAATTTTGGAAATTATATCTGTGTTATGATACTGTCTCTTGCTAATCGGTTGGGTTTTGGGCATCTGTAATCTTAGGTATACCAAGTCAGGCTTCACCTAATATTGGGAGCTTGGAGCATCTATGCAAAGTGTAATGTTCCATGTACATAGAGGAATGTAAAAAAACCAGTGTCAGATAAGGCTTCAGTGCAAACCTATAATAAGACCACCAGGTATAAAAGGCTAAGAAACCAAGAAGATGGAAACCCACTTGGTAATTCTGAGTAAAGAGATAGCACAAACTTTTGATAGTGCCATTGAACTGGTATAAGTCTATGAAACACCTACATAGGAATTGTCGAATAAACCAGATGACAAGATATGTAGAGAAGCATATAACTAACCAAGCTGCTAAAATCACCAGATAAAAAGAATATTTAAGTATACTATACTGGACTATTTGGATTAGAAGTCTGGGGAAGTCCATTGTTGGTTCCAAATTGTGGCTAGTAGGAGATGATAGAAAAGAAGTCAAAAAGATAGATACTGAGTTTGGGTAAACTTTACAAGAATAATAGCAGTTTAAGAGGTAATTCTGACTAAAAATATTGGCTTCAGCTATAGCATCAAATTACGTTAGTAGTAAAAGGAAATATAGCTCACTCTGGTAGATTTACCTCAAGGATAAAAATAGTCTAAGAATTATAGTCCTATGATTAAAAGTGAATAGATCTTGGTTTGTGATCTGGTGAAATTAATACCAAGGTCAGATCAGAGGGTTAAATAAAACACCTAAGCCGGGGTGTTAGATATAGCAACTAGTGAAAAACCTTAGGGCAGACTCCTTAAATAGGTAATATAAAAAAGCTATATGCATAGCTAGTTGTATACTTGTCTGATAATCATTATGATATATTTATATAAAACATATACATGATATAAGTATTAATAAAAACTATGACCAAAAAGGTTACCTTAATACTAAAAAAAAAAAAATAAGCACAATGCCAGATTGAGAAAATTGTCTTCTGGCTTTATTAATAATAATTTGGTTATCAAGTACTATAATAAGACAGGATTTGTTATGCAATAAGAAGTATTCAATTGTGTAACTATAGTAGTTAGTATCAAGTAGATATAAGTGTGAATATAGTGTATAGTTGTAGAAATGACTTGTAACTTGGTTTTCTAAATAGGTAAACCAAAAAGGTTATTTGCCTTTTGAAATTTTATGAATGTGAAAAGAAATGTGTTTCCAATTCAGTAAATATGAATTATCAAATATAGTAAGTTGGTCTAAATATAGAATGCTATGATATTTGAATTGTTTTTTAAAGGTTAGATATTTAGAATATAAGCAGAAAAGGGATTTTAATGAGATAAAGCCCTCTTGAATAGTATATAAAATGTTGTAGGTTGGATTAGAGATAAATGTTATACCAAGATGTTTGAAAATTTAAATAATTTTAAAGTTAGTAGAATGTTTGTTTGGTCAATAAATAGTAGGATTATTGTGTATCAGTATACTAGTAGGTAATCAAAGATTATTTC